AGTAACCTGTAAGGTTCGTGCAAGGAATAAGGGAGAACCTGAATATGATCAGCTCCAAGTAATCTTTTGTTACATTTTAAAGCCTCATGAAGGTATCTGAGAGCAACATGGACATTCCCTAATCCTTCTTCCATCATTGCTACGTTAATGTAGGTGGCAGCCGTGTTTGGATGTGAAGGTCCGCAAGTTAAGTGCAGAAGATACAAAGCACGATTAACATACCTAGAAACAAATAAGATAAAAAGATTAGTGTAATTATTTACAGGAGTTTTCTTATTTGTTACGTAACTAGACAAAGGAAAATTTTTACTAAACCCGAACAGCATAGTATGTATCCATCAAGAAAATCACGTGTCCGTCAACAAATTCATAATAAATGAGATCCAATTCACGCGCTTTTTATCTTAAAAGCCCTATAATGATCTAAGATGAACGCAATTATAGATCAACAACACCAGCTAATTTTGGAATTTTCTTAATATTCTTTCATGAAACAATATATAACATAGGAAACTGGCCCAGTTCTGTTGACTTTTCTAGGATGTTTGCCTACTCATTTTTATCCAATAATATTAGTTTTGTTGATTTTTACTAATATTAATTTAAGTTGTGTTGCAATTTTGAAGAAAGCATTTTCATAGTAAAGCCTTCAGGAATTTCTGAAATGCATAGAATACTTCAATCAATTATGATCTCTATGTAACCCCACTATCAATTGTAACAATTTCTATCATCAGAAGTAGAAAGGGTACCAGATTCTCACATGAAGAACCGTGAAAGCTATTTCCATTATTACAATCAAACAGTTTATCTTACGAATATGATGTAAAGAAGCATACTTTAAAGCCAATTCCGTATGTTGGAGTCGATAATAGAAAACAGCAAGATCCCCATAACTTTTCATCGTATCAGGATGGTCCAGTCCAAGCTCTCTTTCGTTAATATCTAGTGCCTTTTGCTGATAAATAGTTGCCTAGAAAAAGCACATATAAAGTCATTACAATGATACTAATTTGATTGGAATTAACTCGGAACCTTTTTCAAAAATGTTTCTTGATTATGTGAAGCCTCATTTATTCTTTGATAGTGTTTGCAGTTACTAAAATGTACTTCAGAAAATTGATGCCGTCCCCAAGGGATTCTCTGCACTGACCTAATATTGATTTTCTTTATTCACTAATGTCATGTTCTATCAAAACTAAGCAAAACAACCACCAAAAAAAGTGAAATATTTAGTTCGCAAAAATACTTTTAACACTTTTTTATGTATGATTCATAGAAGAAAAACAATATGTAACTAGTATTGATAAATTAACGGAGAGCACTTAAGGATATAAAAACATACCTGATTGAAATCTCCAGTATGGTACAGCACAACAGCCAAGAGACTATATGCTCCTGCTGTCATTCTATGGTAAGGCCCACATACCGACACTAATTTTGAGAGTGCCTTCAAGATTCAATGCAAAATGTGGGTAAATATAGTTGTTGGCTTCAGGAACAGATATAATCTGAGATGGAATAAATTATTTATACCTTTGTGCCATAATTGACAGCATCCTCCAATTTACCTTTATCCAAGGAAGTCTTGGATGATTCCAAAAGTGTGCGGCCATCAGCAGATGAGCAAGCTACATGCTGCGAAGATAATTCAAGTTGTAATTTAGTGATTAGGACTTTAGAAAGTATTAATTTCCTGCGTAAAAGTGAAGGTGTTGTGTATTTCACCTTATATATGGGGACCATGCTTACAATATCCGTCTTTCTAAAAGGACATGATGTATCTATATCATAGTCCCTAGGAACCAGTTCAAGCCCCACCTGTTAGAGGATTTTTTTTTAATTGAAATAACAATGGAGTAAAGTGATCAGAATCAATCTATTACAGAATGGGCCTTTTATTTTACCTTATGGCAGAGTCCCCGAAGAATGGCAAACTTTCTTAAATCTTGACCATTTTCATCCTTCCATTGCCATCCAAACCTCTTCAGAAGAAAGTTTTCTACCCATTTCCATTTCAGTTCATAACTAGTAATAATATCTTCATCACTAGTTTCAGATGTTGGTGTTCCCAACAATATATTTAGGCATGATGCAATAGATGGAGCCAATTCAGAAACATTATCAACTGCAGCAACAACTGCTTGTAAGATATGCTTGTAGGCTCGAACAACCATCTCATGTATACATAGAGATTGCACATGAGGGAGTTTATCTGAAAGCTCAACCTGGCAGGCAGAATTTGAATGAAAAAATAGTATTGGATTATTAGTGAAGTTTCCTATTGTTAAATGGCATGTTTAATGTTAACATTAGAACATCACATGTTGATATGAGCTGCTAATAGTCAGGGATTTGATCGTATTATCATTTACGTCTGATTCTTTTTGTATAAACAGGGTAAGTATAAATACAGCTATGTGTGTTCTCCTTTTAGACACAATGAAACAATACTACACCTCTGTATATTTAAAAACATTCAACCTAGACTTCATAACACATGCACATGGGAGAGAGAGCATATAGTTCATTATTATATTTAAGGGTGTTCATCCATTTGGATCAACCAGACAAACTCAAGAATACAAATCAAACCAATTAAATTTATTTGGCATTTTAGCTTAATCGCATCTAATTCTAACCAAAGAAATAAAATCCAATGTTAATTGGTCCAAGCATGATGAACCAGAACCAAACCAAGGATGAATTTTTCTATTATTAATTGTTATATATCAGATTTTAAGATATAATTATATAATTTTTTGTTTTTATTTAGTTGATGTAAGTCAATTACACTTCAAAAATGTTGTTTATCTCTTTTAATAATAGAATTATTGGCGAATTTTGGACAAAATTTTGTATTCTGACATCTTCGCAAAAACAAAATTTTGTATATTTAAATATAATTGGATCCAATTGGTCTGAACCAAATCGAGAAGATCAAGAATGGGCAGGTTGGATTTCGATTTTGAATGTTTTTTTTGAAAAATTCAAAACAATGAAAATTAATTGGTTCAGATTTTACTTTCAACTAAATTTGGCCCAAACAGACCTGTGAAAACCCCTACATATATTTATGAACCTAATAAATACTGCAGAAAAAAATATATAATTAAAAAATAAAAATATTATTCTTTAGTATCCTAGGGAATGGGTAAGGAATCAATAACTTGGTTTTCTCATTGGATGTGGTGCATTTGTAGCATTAAATATTACACTTTCTTATAGAAACTTTCCACTTTTGATTCCTTGACCAATGCCTTAGGACATTAGTTAACATTATCGTAAGAATATTACCACTTGGCCTAAGGAAGACATTTGCAAGCCCCTAGTATGCATGAAATCAGTCAACGTCCTTCCATCAACAGGTGAGAGTTCAAGGGACGCAAAATCTGCCACCTATGAATTTGAAGTAACAATCACTAAACACATTCCAAAATAACTCAGTTTAAATATAAATAAGTTCAATGTTAGGAAACTCACCAGCTTTGGAAGTGCAGTATCAACATAATATTTATGTGCCATCTCCATCAATTCATCAGGTGACTGAGAATATGGAGAAGGTATCAAATAAAAATATATTAATAAAAATGAATACATAGAATAATAAGCACATTGCTGACTAGAAATCATAAAATTGACATATTCCTATTGAGAATAACATTCCAGTTACAGCGTCAGAAAAATAAAGCATCATTTAAGTCAAAAAGCAGAGATGAACCTTCAGATGAAGATCAGTTTTAGATTCTTTAAGACGTGTAAATGCAGCTTCAGAAAGTAGCTTTCTCCATATAGTTTCCTTTTCTTCCCCTTGTCTCTCTAATTCCTGTTTCGTGGCTTCTTGCTTGTTTATGTCATTGTCATTATTAGATGGGGAAATATCCTTTCCTACTTCAACTTTGGAGTTTTTGTTATCAATTTTTTTCTTTAATTCCTTTAGTAATCCACCTTGCCTCCCNTTATCAATATATTCATTTTGTTATTTATATTTTATAATTATTTTTAATTACATATAATAAATCCATTTAAATTTGAAATTAGTATTAGAGTGTGAGTCACTCTATTTACTAAAAATTTATAATAATCACATTCTTTTATCAAGATATTTAACAACACCATGTGCTTTTTGTTTATTTTTTTAATTATTATTTTAGTCACTTATATTATACTATATCTACATTTATTTATTTTCCTTAACCTTAACACCAAATTTAATTGGACATAAAGCAAAAAGTAAGAAGCCATTATCAAAAGTGATTTTTGCATGAGCGGTGACAATACATTTCGTCACGCTTTAGAAACGAGCTCGTTAATTTATCGTTTGAAAAATGCTATTTCTTCGTTCACAGAAATCTCACTCTTCACCTTCTCACAAAACGTGATTCCCCTTTCCTTAGTCTAAAATCACAATCCCTAAAAAAAACACATTTTCAATTTACGGTAATCTTAGTGTATTCCACTAATCCCTGCACGCACGCAATCAAATTGCCTTCAAATTCTATTGCTTTGCGTCCACAACCAAACAATTTTTTTAAGCAAAGAAAAATGGTTCACACTTCAGATAGCATTGTCTTTTACCCGATGCGCATAAATAGAAGGAAGGGGGAAGAAAATGGATTAAGGCGTGAGGGGTGAGAGCGAAAACAAAGCGCTGTTGACCCACTCGCCGGAAAAAACGGTTAGTTATTTTCCGGCGAGCGTGGAGGAACGGTCGCGGGAAAAGAGGGAAGAGGAAGAGAATGGGGAAAAGGCGATTGGTGAGGTTTGAGGAGTTGCCGACGTACCTGAAAGACAACGAGTTCATCTTGGATCATTACCGGTCGGAGTGGTCCGTGAAGGAGGCATTGTTGAGCGTCTTCATGTGGCACAACGAAACGCTCAATGTTTGGACGTGAGAATTTCTTCTTCACTTGTTTATGCGTTGTTTATTGGGAATTTCTTCTTGCAACCTCTTTTTTCTTCTTGTTCCTTACACTTTCTTAAATTTTAATTATACTTACATCGAAATTAACTTAGGTATTTGGATTGTGTAATCCAGAAATATTTTTAATTATCATCATGATTCAAATGTACATTTTAGATTATGTGAATCGTAATATAAATTTAAAAAACATTCAATAATATAAATAATATTTTGAATAATATACTTTGTGATCAAATTTACATTCATAATTTTACATATAAATTTGAAATGCAAATTATGTTTCCTTGAAACAATATGTAATATATGTAATGTAAATTTATACTACAAATTCTACCCTCTGTAATACAAATTTAAAAAAAAAAATGTTTCAAATTATGTTTCACCAAATTGTAAAATTTTGAATTTATATTCCAGATTTATATAATCCATAATATAAATTTGGAAGTCATGTGAAATTTTTTAATAAGGGATAACTAAGTAAGATTATGGCACAGTGTTTTCTCGTCCAATCGTTTTAACACAACATGTTTGTTTCTTTGTCTGTTATTGGTGCAGGCATTTGGTTGGGTTTCTTATATTTGCGGCGTTGGCAATGCTGGGATGTTGTTTTCCGAGTATCTTCAGGTATGATTTAAGGGTCTTTGTTTGGAGAGAATATGATAAAGATGAATGAATGAATGAAGTGATGCGATGCTACGTCGTATTGTAGGGTAGGGGCGATGGAGATGGAACTCTTTATTATGGGAAAGGAATTCAATGGTTCTCTTCCGATCACTACTGGATTCTTGGTTTGTTTTCTATTTATTTAGAGCCTAGTATATTTTTTTTTCAAAATTGAAAATAATTTCTCCAGTCCAATTTCAAATAAATAATTTACGTAAAATTAGTATTTTAATTAGTTAAAAGCTTTTAAGATAATTGGCTAGAGATGTTATAATTTTCTGATTTTGGAAACTACAATTGGATGATGTATATGTGGGGTTAATAGATTATTATTAACAAGGGCGGTGAAACACAAATCATCCATCTTTACCTCAACTCCATCTAACACCGACAAAATAATACTTTTAAATTCGGGAAGGTGCACAAAAGTTTAAAAGAGGTCCATGGAAAATTTTCCTATTAACAAATACTATAGAGATTTAAATTTAAGTTTGATGATATGTTTAATTTCTATATGTATTTTAAATGTTAAAATAATGTAAATTTATATTTTACTTAAGTTTTTAAAATCTCACATCTACGATATTATATTTATATATCATTATTATAATAATTGAATTAATATCTAGTCGATACTAGTATAGTTTTTGGTAACTAGGTTTTCTAACATATTCTTTAAAATATATTTTATCTGCTCCAAAACAACTTTAGTCTTTTAAGCCATTTTTCAATAACTACATAAAATTAGGAGTAACCAATGCAAAATCACTTGTGTTAAAAATAGATACAAAACAATAAAAGTCAGGAATAAATTTATATTAATTAAATATTTTTCTAATCAACGTGTAAAAGTTTTAAAACTATTATTATTTAAAAATAGAGCAAACACCTATTATTAATTTTTTTAAAGAAAATAAAACTGTGACAGTCACTCTTTACATGATAAACTTTTCATGCATAATTTTGTACTTTTTAATCGATGATAGTAGTGGATTGGCTTGGATGTATTAGAGAGTCTTCTGACATTACTAAATTGTTTTTTGCATTATGTTTGATTACTTTTATGATAAACTTAGTAATTCATTCCATGTTGGTGATTTTATTTATTTATTTAATTATTTTCAGAATTCGCATTTGAGCTACTTATTGGTACCATCTATCATTCCTGACCTGGGAGATGGCGCAGAAGCAGAAACAATTCCTAGATGGCCGTGGTTTGTTTTCTTAGCTGGAGGAATGGGCTGCTTGGCTTTCAGTAGTATTTCCCATCTAATGGCATGCCACTCAAAATGCTTCAACCTGTTTTTCTGGCGTCTAGATTATGTAGGAATTTCTCTCATGATAGTTTGCTCCTTCTATGCTCCAATTTACTATGTCTTTTTCTGCAATCCTCACATAAGGACATTCTACTTGACCTCAATAACTGTGTTTGGAGTCCTCGCCATCATCACCCTTCTCGCCCCTTCACTTTCTTCCCCTCACTTGCGACCCTTCAGAGCTTGTTTATTTCTCTCCATGGGATTTTCAGGTGTCATTCCTGCAGTTCATGTTCTTGTGACCCATTGGGAGCACCCACAGGTTGTTGTTGCACTAGGATTTGAGCTTCTAATGGCCATTCTATATGCCACTGGAGCTGTGTTCTATGTCACTAGAATACCAGAGCGATGGAAGCCTGGGGCATTTGATATTGCAGGTCATAGTCATCAGATTTTTCATGTTTTTGTTCTTCTTGGGGCGCTTGCACACACTCAAGCCACGCTGCTAGTCATGGAATTTCGACGGAGATCGCCCACATGTGCATTTTAGAAAAGTTGGCATCATTGTTATTTTTTGGTGATTGTTTCCGATTGGATCATCATCCTTCCAAAAATGGCTAACTTATTATAAGCCGCCACCAGTTGATGTAGATATTAATTCAATCATTCTGTAATGTTAGAAACAGAAAAGTTTAATACACAGCCTTTCAAACAACCAGTGCCAATAACGAAGTTTAAAAATGTGAACCTAATTCAAAACAGTTTATTAAAATAGGAATTTGAAGTAAATCATCGCTCCGTCACTATCAAACCCGGAATTTTAGTGCCAAACACTGTCACCGTTTAAAAATAAAATTATGGACAAGTTCGTAAGATCTAAGGGTTGCTTCTACAACTTGAAAAAGTTAAACACAGGCCTGACAAATGCAGCCTTAATTGTCCGGCAATTTCAACCTAGTGATCAGCCGTAAGAGTATTTCCATTTTGAATAAGCAAAAAGAAAGTAGCAGGAAAAATTAAAACAATTCAAGACATGGCCAATTAGCTACCAAGAAAGCCTTTCCCCCTCCATTATCATGGTGACCTTCACAAAATCACGCACTAAATTTGAACCTCCAGAGAGAAGTATGTACCGGCGTGAGGCCTTTCACAAATCCTCAAATAATCAGTTCTGCCTCAAAGACCTCCTCAGTCCAGTCTATTCTGGCATCACATTTTGGTATCTCGATAGGCATACAAATCCCCTAGCTAAGAGGAAACGATTTCTTTTTTATTTTATTTTTATCATTTTAATAAGAAAAGCTTACCACTCCTTAGCTTGTGACCTCAATCATATCAGCTTCACTGTCACTGTAATCTCCCCAGCACTTGCTTTGCTTTTTCTGATCCACTGCATCCTTCTTGATCACTGTATCTTCGTTACTAAAATCAGAGGGGGGGCTGAGATCTGCCTGCTTTTCTTCTACTTTAGGAGTAGAGTTTTCACTGCTGGCAGATAGTTCTTGAGGATTTTGCTCAACATGTTTCTTTTCAGAACTTACATCTGGAAAAGAACTTTTACTTTCCTCATCCAGAGTTTGACTCTTGTCTTCAATATCAGTTTCAACACATGCAACTTGTGATGAATCAGTTGAAATGGTTGGAGATGGTACAGGCCCGTTGTGATTCACTTGGATACCATTTAGAGTAGCAGGATATCCACTAGGTGACACTGGCATGGCATTGGGAGACACTGGGGCAAAATTATTTGGAGACCCTGGAATGGCATTTGGAGAAGTCACATATCCGTTGGGAGAAACAACATAGCCATTAGATACCCAATGTTGGCCTGGTACAAACTCTGTGGCATGTGGATTCATTATTCTAGGAGGACTATTGGGGTTACCATCAGGGGAGGGTTCACCTGAGAGGAATACAGCTTTATTCCGCGGAACACGGTTCCCATATCTGTTATAGCCACCAGATATTCGTGGACCATATGGAACCCTAGCCGTAGCTGACTGATGCGGTGATCTTCGGGGACTGACTGGAAGCAAAGGAGCAATATTTACTGGTGGGGGCAAAATACCTCCGTGATCCTTAAAGCCTGGAACAGGAACAGATCCAAAAACTGGAATTGTGGATGGATTAAAGGGTGGTGCAGCTGCAGAAAGTTTCTTGGTCGGTTCCTTTCCTGTTTCTGTTTCTTGCTTTTCTCCTTCTAATGGTAGTGGCTTACAGACTGCATTGCTGCTAGATTCATGTTTGTCATCTCCCTCGTTACCCGTATCTATCAACAAATAGGACTCGTTGTCAAGTACCTGTTTTTCGTCTTCAACTAAAATGGTTAGGGGGTTTGGATTGTCGGATGTTGCTTCACAACTTTCTTGCAGTAGTACCTCGGATTCACCTTTAGAGGTAGTCTTGTTTATATTATCTATGCAACCAGAATTCGCAATCTCGACAACTGTGATGTTTCCAACTTCACTTTTCTTCTCTATTATGGAAACAAAGCTAGCTTCCTGGATTTTAAGTGCAACCTCGTCGTCGGCCTTATTGTTTACTGTTTCTGTATTACCGTTCACCACCGTGGTTTCCCTTTCTTTTTTTTCTTCACGGACAGGGATTTGTATTTTCTCAATAATTGATTTCTGACCAAAATCTTCCACGTCATTCGTTGCCACAATATTTTGAGTGTCCTTTATTGAAACTATCATGCCACTAATCTCAGAATTTTGTTGGATAGGATTTCCTTTTGGTGACTGTTCAGCCACCGCCTTCACAATTGTTCCAGGTGGGGCTAAGGCTACTTCTTTGTAGGAATAAAGTTTACCTGCTGATTGAACACTGACACCCGTGCTAGAAGGAGCTGGTTTAGCAATTTGATCACTTGGAGCAGGGGTGGCTGGAGCTGACTTAGAGTCTGTTACTGCTCCACCATCGGGGGCACTACCGCTATTCAGCTTTGGACTGAAGCTTGCACTCTTAACAAACTTTTTTGGAACAGAAGGAGGTGGTCCCACAATGGTCTCATTTAAATTTGTTCTTGGAGAAGAGAAGTTATTAGGCTTGGCTCGATATCTTGACTGAGAAACATTCATGAAGTTAGTGTTTAGTTTTGCTAGGGTGGGTCTTCTAGATGAAGATGACTTGCGCCCAGTGAGTGACCGACTCTTGGGAACAGCTTCCTGCCACCCTTCATCCGAGCTGTCATCCTGTGCCAGTTTATTATTACTTTCATTGACCATCGTTTGGTCTATGTGAGTGGACTCAACTTTATCAATCCCGTTGTCTTTAATTTGAGCTTCAGATTTATTTTCTTTATCACTAGTAGTCTCTGTAAATGAATAATCTTTAGACATGTCTTCATCCTTCTGATTTTCATCTGAAGCTGTTTCCCAGTTTTGGCCCGGTTTTCCCTTTAACTGTAAAATAGATGATAATTTAGTTTGTTTCACAACGAGATATAAAATTAATTTTACAAGTATTAAGTAATATAAGAAAGGCGAATGCATTTGCAGCCTGGGTAAAAAGAAGACATGTATTACCTTGGCACGAGCCTTTTTCTGTGCTTCCCGCGCTTTCTGATCTGCGTCCGGTGTTATGTAGTCCAAGAGGTCTGACACACTGGTAGAAGGCATTTTTTATTGTCATGAACTTTGAAAGGAAATGAAAAGATTTAATAAAACCAAAGTCATATAGGACTGGATGTAAACAGTGGTTAAATTTTTCAGTAGACATTAATGATGGGATTAGAAGTTATGACAGTTATTGGAAAAAAATAGGAGCAGTTACATATTATCATTTGTGTATTAATTTATTAGGTTTAGGAGCAATTATTTTAAATATGGTCTACGTAGGAAGTTATCAAGTTTTATGGAAGTTATTATGTTATTTGTATAAACGATAGACTGCAGAATAGGGGATACAAAAGTGTGTTCTATTGGCAATGATCATTCTGAGGTTGATGTTCCTTTGGATACAGTTGACCAAATTCAGCAAAACATTGACAAAATTGGTCCTATAAAAAATCTGTTGGATGCTGAAAACTATGCTCTTCTGGAATTAGATAAAGTTTGCATGTTTGAAGAGGAATTAATGAATTAGATAGAGTTGGCATTTTTAAAAAGCATATATTCTCAACATAATGTAATCCTGTATTTCAAAATTTTGTTGTAAAATCAAAACATAGGAGAAACTGTGATTGAACTGGCATTGTCCATGTTTACTTTATTCATTTAAACGCTCAAGCACTCCACAACATTATCTTTTTACTGTGTTTTTTAAATTATAACAAATAAGCTTGCTTATTGTTCCACCAACTTATTAACCTTGGCCTGTGATACTGATAAGTGCATATGCTTACTCAACAGGAAGTCTAAACACATTCCAATTGGTGATTTTATAAAAGATGAAATATCTAGTAGAGGTCAACAAACNAAGTTCAATGTTAGGAAACTCACCAGCTTTGGAAGTGCAGTATCAACATAATATTTATGTGCCATCTCCATCAATTCATCAGGTGACTGAGAATATGGAGAAGGTATCAAATAAAAATATATTAATAAAAATGAATACATAGAATAATAAGCACATTGCTGACTAGAAATCATAAAATTGACATATTCCTATTGAGAATAACATTCCAGTTACAGCGTCAGAAAAATAAAGCATCATTTAAGTCAAAAAGCAGAGATGAACCTTCAGATGAAGATCAGTTTTAGATTCTTTAAGACGTGTAAATGCAGCTTCAGAAAGTAGCTTTCTCCATATAGTTTCCTTTTCTTCCCCTTGTCTCTCTAATTCCTGTTTCGTGGCTTCTTGCTTGTTTATGTCATTGTCATTATTAGATGGGGAAATATCCTTTCCTACTTCAACTTTGGAGTTTTTGTTATCAATTTTTTTCTTTAATTCCTTTAGTAATCCACCTTGCCTCCCAAGACCTTTAACAGCTGGCTCAAACTTAGCCTCTTCTTCCTTTTTTGGCTCAGTTTTCCCAGTAGCTTGATTTTGTAAATGTTGTACCCAACATGCCCCAAGCTCCCATCTGATAGATTTTCTGTGTCTAGTGGTTTCTTCCTTCAATTTTTGTAAACTTTCTTCTAGGACTTTCCTTACCAATGATTGAGTTGAACGTGAATATTCAATGTCTGTGCCTTGGATTCGTTGACTTGCATTTGATGGTTGGAGTGTAGATGGCCTATGCAATATCATCCGTAAGCTGAGATAATTTTGAAAAGAAACTTTTATCAGGTGCTTTATAAAACCATATTTACCCAAAGAAAAAAAAAGTAAAAGCACCGTTAAGCTAAAGCTAATCATACAAAATAAATTACCAAAATAGATTAGTACTGCAGCATTATAAGTTCCAAATGCAACAAGTTTTCCCCGTTATTGGTGTATGAATTTTATAATTTTTATGATGCAAAAGTTTATTAGAAAGTAATGCAAGAACTAATTTTTAATTAAATAGTCCTCGTGATCCTCTAGTACTAAAATAAATTAAATGGTGCTAGAGAATAAATGACCTGTTAACATTCAATGCGTTTGCACCTCCTTCAGGCTGCTCTTCAACATCAATTTCTGACGAATTAGGACTCCCCTCCAAATCTCTGTCAGCGGAGACCTTTACAACAGCTGTGTAGCCACAGTGTTTTATAAGTACTGCACCTAGAGTAGGAGTATCCTACAACAAAAGGCAAGAACAATTTATCAAAACAAAAACCATTTAGTGCTACAATAGGTTCATGACACTTAGCTAACTTACATGAACAGTTGCACTCTCATCAGCAGTTATGCCTTTGAGAAGGTTTCTTTGAGCTAGTTCTTCTTCAGACAATCCAAGAACTCGATTTCCATCATTTTTGCAATCCAACTTCAAACTAGCGTCGGAAACATCTCTTGTTACTTTAATAGTTAAATCCCCAATACTTTCTTCATACGAAGTTGGCAAAGAAGAGTTTTGCTTAATATCCACTAAATTTTTTATAGCAGAAACAGCTTTGAAGACTGATACATCAACAAATAAACTATGAAGTAGAAAAGCTTTCCTATCCCGAATCTGTCTCTCCTCTGCAGTTTGACATGGCATTGCAGCTAGAATTGCAAAGTCTCTCGCCCACTGTCTATTTTCGTGATTACAACCTCTGCCTTGTCCACCCCCATTTCCTCCCCAAGTTTCATCTTCCACGGGAAGTGGTGGAAAGATGGATGAATTATCAGAAACAACCGGAGGAACAACCCATGTGTTTTCACGAAAACCGTAAGGAAGATTACCAAACTGAAAGGAGCCACTGTAACAGTAAAATCATCTGGTACAGTTAGAATAGTAATGTGAAAAATTGTGGGAAGTACTTACTTTGTTGTGTTCCGTGAACGCCTTCATAAGTGCCTTGTAAGCCTGCAAGAAGGGTTATTATTTATTATTTTCAATCATGCAATATAAATTATATACAACATTAAATATTGGAGGATGACCCCAGCATAGCAGTAAATTTGTGTCCTGGTGACCAGTTGGTCATGGCTTTTAATCTTACTTTTTATAAACGGTTACTACGAGAAAAGAAAAATGTTCTGGAATTGTTTAAAGCAGCAACAGTAACGAAACATCAATGAGTTAGAACTTACAGCATCAAAAACCCTGCTTATCTGCTGAAGCAGACCCACCAATGTATGACTCACAAGTGGATGTTTTCCAGCAGGATAGAATCCTATTCTAGAAGCAACAATTGTAGTAGGTTTTCCACTACAAACTCTAACCTGCATACGCGAAATGCACAAAAAAATCACTTCAAAGATAAATTATTTGCTAGAGCTCATTCAAGAGAAAGGAGCAAAACAGTATGTGCATAAAGCTTTATCTTTTCACAACTCAAATTTATTCTACCCTTATAGGTTCCTCTCCTATATCCTCCTTTTAACATTGCCTAACACATCTACTATTGATTATCTCTCTTTCCTCCAAAGGTATATCACATTCACCACCAGTGGTTGTGGAAATTCCTTTTGGGTTAAAAAATTTAGAAAACGCGAGACAAAAGTTAGCAAAAGAATAAATCTCACATCAATCTGAAAGAAATCATCTTCTGTTTTCTCCTCAAGGAAAGGTCGATTTGATTTCCGTATGTCTGCATCAAAACCAAAAGAACATTAATAAAAACAAGGTTTCCAGCTCAATTTACTATCAAGCATATTCATATTGCTTAAATAATTTGAATTATATCCAAGCTAACCGAAATCCACTGGCACAAACCACTATTCATGTATCTAATTGCAGTGTAACATATCCATGGAAGAGGAAACATAGTTTAACAAAAAATATACTCGGTCGTAAAGTTGTTGGAGCTAGCAGCTTGGCACAACACCATGTTTCTAGTTTGTTGAGCAAAAGAGCATTCATCACTAAAACAAAATACAAAAAGAAAATAAAAATTCCAACAGCATCGCTACAGTTCGAAGTATAAATTTTACCCAATTGTTTTCACAGAAGATTATTTCACCAAAGCAGAGGAAAATAACCAAAAACATAAATAGATTTCATTAAAATACGCATATAAGATGCACTATCACTCGAAACAACCAGTTCAAAAGTCACTTTTATAAGGGCAAGAAAAAAATTACAATGTATACTTTAAGATTAAACTCAACATAGATTTCCACAGCAATTGAATTAAAACTATAAAATTTTATAACTACGGTTGTACCGGTTTAGCATTGCAAAGCCCATACATTTCCTCAAGCAAATTTCATCGGGCTTCAAATAAGATGAAAAGGCAACTAACTAAAAGGAAAACACAGTGGACATTTAAAATACGGAATACACATTTTGCATACTTTTATACACACATACATTCTATATATATATATATATATATATTTACACACACACGCACACACACATATAACTTACATTGAAACGGCGGCGTAAGGTGAGAAAACGAAAAGAAATCGTAGAACTGTCCAAGCCTGGGAGGTGGACACATGGAGATGTCACCGTCCACTTTGTCGGTTTTGGCATTGCCCGAATCCGAATTCGGATCCACGGGTTTGACTCTTGGGCTTGTTTCCGATCCATTTTCTGAACCCGGTTCGGTGGGGTCTTTGGACTTGCAGGCGGGAGGTTTTGTGGCGGAGGCAAAGGAGGTGGTGCAGGCCACGATGTCAAGGAGTCGCCGAATGTGTGCGACGGCAAGCTCTTCCGTGTAGTCCTCTGACAAAAGAATAAAAAAACTGTCAGTGGGCAGTGATAGTCAACAGAGGGCTCTGNGAAGTCTAAACACATTCCAATTGGTGATTTTATAAAAGATGAAATATCTAGTAGAGGTCAACAAACTCAGATAAGCTCTTATGTATAGATCATTCAACCAAAATGCATAGAGTGAACCAGATAGATTGACATAAGTGGAGCTTGTTCTAATTGTAATCACTACCTTAAATGACCTTTGCTGGAGATTGAGGCATCTGGCTTAGGTGTACCATTCCGTGCAGCCTCCTGTTGCTCGAGAGCCTTTGACTCGAAGTATTCCAGCCATGCTGCCGCATCCTATAATGAATTCAAATATTTGCATAAGTAACAAGGATTACCATTTATGTGACTTAATCCATCATCAAAAAGGGATATGTAAGACTACCTGTGTCCTTAGATCGTCAGAACCAAGTTTAGCCTGCAGGATCTGGAGGGTGGTCTGTTCATGATGAACACTTAGAGAGTATGCTTCCATCAAAGAAAGAGCAATAGCTATTGCATGATAGCTTGCAGCTGTCTGAAAAGCCAAATATGTGTAAAACAAGTTAAAAATGCAAACTACACTACTCTAATGCATATTTGTGAAAAAATCGAGCATGAACAAGTGCTTTCATGAACTTAATATTTAGCCTACACCTTACATAACATGACTAGTACTCAAACAAAATTGC